GCACTTCGTTCTGCGCACATATGGCAGGACTGATATGAGGCTTTTTCTAGCTCAAAATCGGGTCAGATGGAACGAACTTTCGGCGGAGGTGTAAGGAAAAACTGTGTTGTTATTGTTTGAGACAAAGGTATTCTCGTCACGATTTTTAAAAATAATCCGTGACAGCTATGCTCCAGCCATCATCATATACTTTCACATTCCAACAAAAATTTAAGTCAGTTGCAAAATATTTCTTAATCATCTTCCCGGAAAGTCAGAGTTAGCAAAGCTAAGAAACATGTGAGCGCCAGATCAGAAGTTCAGAATTATGATTAAAATTAATAATGTTAGTAAGAATAGTACCTTAATTCGTGATTGATTTGAAAAATTTAAAATTGATTCACAGTTCCATAAAAGAAAGCCAACACGGCCCAACAGTGACCCAACATCGGTAGGTACCCATTATTGATAGTACTGCTCGCCAATACTGATCCATAGTTGTATGGTTGTTGAAATGATCATATTGGTCCAAAATTCACCATGCAGTACAATTTATAACTGAATTAATTTTAAAAACAGTATTTTCTCTAATTTTTGTCTATTTTCTTCAACGCTTTTGTGCAGACGTTTTTGTAAATAAGTGTTAAATACGAAAGCATTTTTCCAGTTTTACGTAAACAAACTTGGGTTATTTTTTTCACTCTCTTTCTTCCCGTTGTAAGACGAAAATTGCAATGCACTATCATACGGCACAATTACTGCAAAGAATTCAATAGAATTATTTGTTTAAATCACTGGAATATCTTTGAAAATATATGCTATATATGAATTTGTATGTCCCGCACGAAGCATGACTTTAGGCTACAGATAATTAAAAACAAATGACATGTAGGATCTCTTGAGAATAAAATTTTTTTTTTTCTCTAAGTACACTACTCATAAGTACTACGCAATTATTTAGAAATTTTGTTTTTATATGTTTTTTTTACATAGATTTCAGAGATAGATCTAACTGATAAAATCCACAGAAACTTATCTAGTTCACGGTTTTAAGAAAAATAAAAACTGAAAAAATGTATCACCAATGAAGTTGTATAAAAAATTTAAAGCAAGCGCACTCTGTTAATTATTTAGTCCGACCAGAATGTTTCTCACCAATAACATTATTTTTTAAAACCAAATAAAAATTTTAATATGCAATAAATAATAAAGCATGCAAGGCACAACTGAAAATCCAATGAAAATGATATAGGCGAATTAATATAAAAGAGTTGAATAAAAAATAGTGATTTATTATACCTGTTCAACAAGAGCTTCGTAGTGTTGATATTCGTTGATACTGGACAAAGTTTTTGAGTTTTCAAAAGCTTCCATTATGCGTTTCCAAATCATCTTTATTTCCTCGCCAAATGATTTGCAAACTGTAATTACCCAAGCCGCGTTTGTTCGCACTTTGAAATTTGGACATCTGCACATCTGATCAGTTACTACATTAAAAACAATGTCCTAGAAAAAATATTATAAATCATAAAAATATTTTGCAATAGATTAAAATGTTTGTTACATACTCTCCAGGAAGAAGTTAAAGTAGCATCTGGAGTACCACTGATTATTATGCCAAGAGCCCGACAAGCGTTCCACTTTACCTAAAATAATTGGTAATATATCAAGACCTTACCAAACAAGTTTATTGNATGATTTTTTTTCATTACGGTTACAAATTACCACTGTTTTATAAAAAATACTACTGTTTTATTATAATGTTATGAATTTTTTTGTATTATTTTGAAAATTTGGCTTACATTCCCAATATTTATTTAGTCGTGGCAACCCATTTCTTGTACATGTAGTGATAAAAGTATCACCTTAAAACGATACTCTCAATCAATGAAATCGTTAATAATTTTAATTTAATAAATTCATCGCAACCCTTTACTTATATATCTTACTCACACAAAAAAAAACGAGCTCTACATAATCCCTGTCCCCAAACTAAAACCCTCCCTTATCATCGGCCGCAAAGCCAGCGACCTACCAATCCATCGGCTCGCAAGCTCGAGACACCCGCGGCTTTTTCATATAACGTTTTTCTATCATAGATCCTATGTCTTATGCCAAAAATTTACTAAATTCGGTGAACCATCTGAACATATTTAATTATATCTGTGAATTCCATTTGGAGGGATGGGTGTAACAAATGACTCCATAAATGTGTAGGCAGATGAAATTATAAGTGTAATTATAATACTTGTCACCTATACGTTTTACACTCACGATGGACGTATGATTCGAAAAGTATAATGGTGCAATAGGATAGAGATCCCCGAATTTTATAAATTTGGTACCAGATTTAAGATAACTGACATAAAAAAAAATGTTCATTACATACATATAGTATAAATATTCTTATATCAAACCAGTGCCAAAACATAAAGAATAATTTTTCAGGCTGTACTGTGGTATCTGTGACAATTATTGGATACGTTCATTTAAAGCAACAATTTGATCGGTAAGAAAAATACATTTTTTGTTTTAAGTTATAGGTTATGATGTTTTGTTGTGATGTTTACGTAAATAAAACGAATTGTTCAATAAAATTAATTGTTTCGACGTTATTTGTTATATTCTTAATTGATGGATTTCTAGTGAAATAAAAAGAATTTTCAAAGAAGCAGCTATAAATTACGTTAGATGTTTTAGTTAGATATTAGTGATTTATAACTCTCTTTCAAAGCAAATTCGATAATTACTTGATTTTGTTTATTCGAACTTATTAGTGAACAAATGCACTCTGGAGTTGTCAAAGATTTGGAAAGACAAAGGCAGAAAAGGATTCAAAATTTATACTTACTTACTCAGCAAGAGGAACTTGCTCATCACCTTAAAAAAGACTTGATGCTGGATAAGAATAAATTGGAAAGAGTTGACTTGACTACTTAATACTTCAGCTTGATCTACAACACATGAATGTGTTTGTACAGTTTTGTTATAATCAAATTTAGATTTGAGACATGTAAGATTTGTATAAAATTTTATAAATAATAANAATGTGTAGGCAGATGAAATTATAAGTGTAATTATAATACTTGTCACCTATACGTTTTACACTCACGATGGACGTATGATTCGAAAAGTATAATGGTGCAATAGGATAGAGATCCCCGAATTTTATAAATTTGGTACCAGATTTAAGATAACTGACATAAAAAAAAATGTTCATTACATACATATAGTATAAATATTCTTATATCAAACCAGTGCCAAAACATAAAGAATAATTTTTTTTTTTTAATTTTTACTATAGTTAAAAGGTATGAACATAATATACTTTAACTCATTCAACCAGTTTTATTATTCACAATTTCAATAAAATATATCCTAAGGTCCCCAACGATGGATCGTTGCAACGATGGGATTTTTTGCATTTTTCAACGCATACACGTTGCGAATCTGCCTCTCGATCGCAATAACCAAAATGACCAAACCACATTCCAGTAACATCAGCTCTACTCAGTCGATCGACGAAACCTGTCCCGATTACGAGGACAACGTTCTCAAAAACGAAACCACCGTCGTTTCCGTTGGGGAGTTTGAGTGGGACGAGGTTACTCAGGTAAAAGTGCAAGAATTACCCCACGTTTATCGACGCTTTGGTCAAAGAAAACACTAACTGAAGGCAATTTTGAGTTAGCGTAGAGTTTTTACGACCGAGGCGTTAATTCATGTACATGTATATACATATTTTTTTTAACCAATCGGATACACCCTACAGGGTATCGTTCTTTCCTCTTTCTACTGGGGTTACGCAGCGTCCCACCTACCCGGTGGCCTACTAGCCAGAAAATTTGGCGCTAAACGCATTATCGGCCTCGGAGTACTGTTTACGGCTCTGCTATCCATCGCGACACCCAAAGTAACCCAATGGGGCGACGCCCCAGCTCTTATGGGGCTTCGCCTCCTCATGGGGCTCTGCGAGGGCGTCATACAGCCGGGCATGAGCCATCTGTTGGCTCAGTGGATCCCTTCCCAGGAGAGATCGGTCATCGGAACATTTGTCTACACTGGAATTAAACTGGGTATACTCGTCTCCTCGGTCGCCTCGGGCCTTATTATGGACAGGTCAACCGACAATTGGCCCTGGATATTCTATATCTTCGGAGCCATCGGCATATTGTGGTACGTCGTTTGGGTGCCGCTATGCTACGACAGTCCCCGAGAGCACCCCTTCATAACCGAGCAAGAGAGGATATACCTTCACGAGCACATGTCCAGCCACACTGCGGAGACAACGGCAAAACCTTCAGTTCCCTGGAGACACGTGCTCACCTCGAAACCATTCTTGGCCCTCGTTGCTATGCAGTGCGGGCAAGACTGGTGCAACTACACGATCATGTCGGATCTGCCCAAATACATGAACGGAGTGCTGAAGTTACCGATTCACCTGAACGGCTACGCGTCTTCCATGCACACAGTCAGCTCTTGGCTGTTCAGTACGTTCGCGTCCTGGCTGTCTGACCGTCTGATAGCCAAAAAGCGCGTGTCGATAAGTAAGGTTAGAAAGGCCAACGTTGCCATTTCGAGCGTTGGGCCCGCGGTTTTTCTACTGTTGGCCGTGTACGCGGGCTGCGACGTCGTACTGGCCGTTGTCTTGGTTACTGTGGGTTTGACACTGACGGGTAGCTCGTTGATCGGGATCAAGGTGAACGTGCTGGACCTTAGCCCAAATCACGCCGGGGTACTCATGGGTATACAAAATGGCGTCGGGGCTTTGGCGGGCATCGCGGCTCCGTACACCGTTGGGGTGCTCACGCCCAATCAGACCCTCGGTGAGTGGAAGAGAGTCTTTTGGATCATAGCTGGGGTTTATTTCGTGGCTACGGTGAATTTTGTAATCAACGCCAGTGGTGATGTCCAGCCGTGGAATAATCCCGGGTTCTTGAAAAAAGAGCGTGAGAAGGAACGCAATGACGATGTGGAAGAGGATGTGGGTCTGATGAACTTGAGTAGAAGTAAGGTGGTATGTGAGTGAAATGATTTTATAAACGGAATTTATTAGAATTTTGAGGTGCGATATTCGCTCCATGCACAAACGGCAAAAATTGGAACTTCAGTACCCAAACCCCATTTAAAGTACATGTATTCTCCGACGCTAGCGCCAAATCCATTACTTTTGGCGCTAGTGTCGGTGATTACATATTTACATGTACTTTAAATGTGGTTTGGGTACTGAAGTTCCAATTTTAGCCGTTTGTGCACGGAGCGAATACTCTGCCTCGGAGTATTAGATTTGAGGTTGTTGGGCGATACTGCGAGAGAAACGACTAGTTAAAAAGAGCGTGGGTTGTATATACGAAGAGCAGTTTTTTGACGATCTTTGTTAAAATTTATAATTAGCATTCATAGGCTCTACATAGGTAATTCTGAAACTTGAAACTGTAATTGGGTGAGAACGGATGTTTCAGAACCGAATTAAATCATCGTCGTATCTAAGTCTACATTCAAATATGTTAACAAAAAATAAGATTATGTTAAAAAAGACAAATTAAGAAAAAATATTACCATTACCAACTATTCTATATATGTTTAAATGTTTTACTCATCAAATTGGTTATTTAAAAGAATTATTATACTGTAACGTTTAATACACATTCATAAATAAAAAATTTTCAAAATATAATAAAGTAGTCTTAAGACATTATGACAAAGCCTCTTTCCACGCGTTATCCTGTAAATTGAGACATTATAAACATTAGAATGTCTTAAATTATCTTATCGTTCTGTAAATACAATGATCTTTAAATTGGATTAAGTACTTATCAGCCTAGAGCTTCGATTGCATTCAGTAAAATTTTATCAGTTTGTGTGTAAGAAAGTACATTTGGTTCTGATGTGATTTAAACTTATGAATAAAAACCAATGCCACTATTTTTTGAAAAATGTAAGATAAATTATTGATACTTTCATAGTATTTCATGCATGTAGTAGTGATTTTTTATTACATTTTTTTTGCTTCATTGTAGTGAAAATTAAATTAAACTTGAAATTTATTTTAATTTTTTTCGATCATAGATCCTATGTCTTATGCCAAAAATTTACTAAATTCGGTGAACCATCTGAACATATTTAATTATATCTGTGAATTCCATTTGGAGGGATGGGTGTAACAAATGACTCCATAAATGTGTAGGCAGATGAAATTATAAGTGTAATTATAATACNATTATTTTGAAAATTTGGCTTACATTCCCAATATTTATTTAGTCGTGGCAACCCATTTCTTGTACATGTAGTGATAAAAGTATCACCTTAAAACGATACTCTCAATCAATGAAATCGTTAATAATTTTAATTTAATAAATTCATCGCAACCCTTTACTTATATATCTTACTCACACAAAAAAAAACGAGCTCTACATAATCCCTGTCCCCAAACTAAAACCCTCCCTTATCATCGGCCGCAAAGCCAGCGACCTACCAATCCATCGGCTCGCAAGCTCGAGACACCCGCGGCTTTTTCATATAACGTTTTTCTCTCTCTCCCACCCACTATCTCTCTTTGTCATATATATCTATATAAGACGCAAGAGGGACAGAGAGGTAAAGTGAGCGTGCGCGTATCGTCTACAGGCCACTGTCGTGGAGGCAGGGGGCAGGGCTTTGCTCGCTCGGTCGCCAACTTACTAATAGTGAAGAAGGAGCAATCGTCGTCGCGCCGCGACCTCGTCGTTCTTTCATTTACTTACGGTTCGGCGCGTCACCGTTTCGCGTCCCTTTGTTGTGTTGTTTTTTTTTTTCCAATGCTTTTTTTTTTAATTCCCTGCAACAATGCAATGACCGTGAAATTTTCGTAACCAGTCGAGTCGCGGGATTGTGCAGTGAAAAGAAAAGAAAGGAAACAAAAAAATACTGCAAAATCGTGAAATTTTTCATGACAAGTAAGGTAAAGAGAAAGTGCGCGCGCGGTGCTCCGGTGGAATTAGAAATGAGTAGATAAACAAAAACACACACTCACACAAGCAGACAGACAGAGCCATCCGGGGTACACACACATGTAGAAAGCGCACACAACACGGGGCTTTTCGGAGCATTTGGATTTCGGAGCGACTCTGGTTTTGCGAGAGTTCGAGTGCATGGGTGCAGTTGCCCATCAGGATCGTGTTCTCCCAACTGTATGTTGACAATTAAAATTGAAACTGATGGTGTGAACACACGCGTTACAAGTGATTAATAAATACCTTCGTTGACGTGGACGTGAAGTAAAAGTGTAGGTGCATAGTGTGTATACGTATAGCCACGAAAAGTTTACTCACGGGGAAAAGCGAAGAGTGGAAAAAGGGAGAGAGAAAAAAAAGGAAAAGGGAAAATGCGTGTGCCCCCCGAGGCGAGTAAAAGAGGCGTCTGCTGCATCCACCGTTAATGTCTGTTACTACTATTGGGTGTTATATGGGCACTGACGGCAGCAGCTGAGACCTGGAACACCAAAGTTCAGGGGAGAGGGCGAGCTTTGAAAATTTTTAACGGAGGGATTTGAGCTTTTTTTCAAATCTCATTTTCGAGCTCAAAGCAAAACAAAACAAAACAAAAATATATATTAAATGTTTTGTTTTTCCTCTCTCTCCAACTGTTTTTTAACATTACACATCGCAGTAGTGGATGTGTGCGCAAGGGCGATAATCCAACAGATAGCATAAAAGTTGAAGGACCGCAAGAAGAGCTCATATATATATATATATATATACACGCACATCAGAGAGAGAGAGAGAGAGAGAGAAGGGGAAATAAAAGTGTGCTCTATTATTTATGTTTTACGAATAAGTATAAGTATACAGTGTTACAATATTCAAGTGAGGTATTCGCGCATAATATACATATAAACAAGTGGATGATAATTAAAGTACACCGATGCCTGTGTCCGCACAAAACTTATTCAAGCTCGACCGTCTAAGTTTGTCAAATTTGTCTGCCAATGCATAATACGATGTAATAATATGTATTTGTACGCTGTGGCTTGTAAACAATAAAACGTGTACACACGTATGTATGTATAAATTTATAATATAAAATGCATGACGCACAGTTGTGGGTGCAATTATGATATATGACACAAGATGAAAGCGGAGGTGAACCATCAAGTGTTTGTAGTTGGACGATGACAGCTACGTGAAAGTGTAAATAGTGATATAGGTATATATACATAGCAACATCGTCAGCATAATTTGTGACAAGTGCGCCTGTGCTTGTGTGTTACTGTGTCATCGGGGCACACATAACATAATATATGAATTTATAACAACACAAGACTTCGCCGCATCGTAGATTTAGATACACGTGATAATATAATAAAAATAAACAAATCAAATAGGCCAAAAAAATGGCGGATCTCGAGGCGGTGCTCGCCGACGTGAGCTATCTCATGGCCATGGAGAAGAGCAAGTGCACGCCGGCCGCCCGGGCCAGCAAGAAGATCATCCTGCCGGATCCAAGGTGAGATTATACGTCTATACGTTATACGCACATAATATATAAGCACGAGAGGCTGTTCCCCGCACCAGCAGCCTCCCCTTTCTCTCGATATTCGGGCGAATCTCCCTCTCCCCCCCCCGCCTTACTCGACCCACAAAACGAGGGGTCAACCCCCCGCTACCATATACCCATGTTTACACACGTGTATGTATATTTACATGCAGAGAGAGAATCGTTCCTTCACCCCCTCCCCCTCTACTTTGTCTGTTGCCCCTTCCCCTCTGCTCCTCCGCCATTTTCTACGTCTCTCGCGCCCAACTCCCACCCACCCCTTTTTCCCGCTGCCTCTCGATCCTCCTTATGCCCTCCCCCGCAGCTTACCCCACTTGCCCAGATAACGTGACTATCGCACTCGCGGAACTCTGTGCTCCTCACCCTGTCTCGAATCTTTTTTTTTCTCCTTTTTCTTATTTCTCTTTCATTTCTTTTGTCACACATATACCCGCCTCACTGGGTCCTGTAATAATGATGTAGGCACACAGCAGATGGGAGGGGGGGGGGAAGTGTGAATGTGTAAGCAGGGGATGTCTTTCACATCAAATGACTCGTGAGGGGGGCTTTCGCTAATCGGACGTTCTTTTCTTTGTTTCGTGTGTGCAGGTCGTGAAAATTGCGCCCATTGGTAGTAGAATATAGGGCGTTGGAGTTACCTTTTGCCGTTGCCATTGGGAAAACGAGCACTGAGATCTAGTTGAATCAAACTTGGTTCCGTTGAAAAGGTTTTGGAAGGGGGGGGGGCAAGGGGGAGAAAAGGGGAGTCACGTTGAATCGGGAACACAAGCGTGTATAGTAAGAGGAAAAAAAAAAAAAAAAATTATGAACGTTAGAGAACAGTCAACTAGTGTTTATGACTTCACCATCTAGAAGTTTTGGTATTCTAATTTTTACCTCATTTCCGCTATGAAAATATCGTAAAAATCACTGTGCTTACGATGAAATATGTTTTGTATCTACAAAATAAATGCTGTCGACGATGTAGTGCAGTGCATCACACTTAGCACCCCATTAGATTTATTTAGGTACTTTTGTGGAACGAAAAAAAGTATAACACCCAAAAGTCATTGACTATAGCTTTTAAACCCACACATTCTACACGTCGTCCAATCAAAAGAGAACCATTTTTAATGACTGCACCACCATACACATAGAGACATACAGAATTTAATGTTCCTCTACCCCTCCTATACCTCCCGCCACGGATTCCGATTGTAGCGACCGAAAAAAAAGCTTACGTATTTACAAATCATGCTCGAGTAAGTAAAGCACAAAGAGCTATAGGAAGACGGCTTGCTGCTCTGCTTTGGCTTCCCCCTTTTGCTCTGATTTTCATACGCTCGAGAGTGCCCACGACAGGAGATGGGAGTTCGTATATATAACCCGGAAACAAATGCACTGGTGCGTGCAAGAGGCTCTTTTACGCAAACCGCATAAGTTATATACGACATTTTTGTTAATGTTTTGAAAAATATACCGTTCCACGCGTACTAAGCATTATTTACGCGCACCATAGCGATGATGTGCATTTATTTAAAACTCCTGGAAATCGAGATGAAAAGAGCTTTGGGGTAAAGGCTCGCTCGTTAATTTTAATGAATGCAAAAACAAAACAAAACAAAAAAAACACTGTTTTCCTGAAATGTTCTCATTTTTAAAAAAGCTCTGAGTCCAGGAAAACAACGAGATACGTGTAATCACGTGTAATCCAATTACGAGACCTCTCACCGTTTTTTTTTTTTTTTTTTTTTTTTCCAAGTACACCCTTTTTTTTCCTAACGCCCTCGTATTTTTCAAAAACTCTTTCGGATGAATATTCACCCCTCCGGAGCTCTAGAGGCTCACGAATTTTGCAATCCCAGGGGTATGGTCGACGTGCGTAGGACGTTCTCGCCATCGTGCGAATAAAATTTCGCCTCCCCGAACGACCCGAGTAAGTGTAATCAAGTCTCCAATTCGCCCGTCCGTGTCTGATCGAATGGCTGTCCATTAAGTGTATACATAACTCGACTATATGGTACTTACGTCTCCGTAACATCAAAACTTTTGATTGAAAGTGCTACAGTTTTCAGATCGATAACGCTGCCCGATACCTCGTAGGTATGGAGTGTAATAGTTGCGCAAAGTAATTGGTTATTTCTGCTTTAAGAAGGGCATGCTATATTTCAAATGAAATGTATATAATTTTATTAGTCGATTCAAATTAATCTAAATTATCATGACTACTTTTATACTCCGCGTTTACAAATATTTTTATATTTTAATCATCAATAAGCATACGTTACCACTCGAAGAAAATTTAATTTTTCTTGGAATTTTTAGTTTATTAAAAAAAAAAAAAAAAAATCACAATGTAAATAAATGGTAGTGCTGTAAAAATATTTTATACTACGAAAACGTACTTCATAGAGTTTTACTTATAACGTACAATTTGATTTTATATTAACTTTATTCAAATGAAATTATTTGTCGAGTTGTTTGTTGTGCAAAGACAAACGAAATATTAACCTTTCAGATCATTTTTACGTTATAAACTTGTATTTCAAACTCAAAATGCTGCCATCCTTGGGAAAAAAAGTGTATGTGCAATGTTATTCTTTTTTCTTTTCCTGGGACGGCAGAATAAATGACAAATTAAAATTATAGATAAATCTCTCAAAGACAACCCAGTGACTTGATTCTAAAAAAAGAGGTTTTTTTTTCTATGATCCCCTTAACCAACTCATCTATATTATTTTTTCCAAGTCCATAAGCTTTTACCTCCACATGTCTCTGCCGCAGAAAAATTATTAAAAGATGTACTATTTTCGTAGTGCCGATTGACTTACTCGAATTCATTAATTCTCAAAATTACTTATTTTACGAAATAACGTAAGGTGATAAATCCGAATACACACGTTTACAATGAATTTCATCCACGAATGGACAGATATTATAATTAGCTAATTATCATGCATATCGAGAGTGAGACATAAAATTGTAATGATGGTCTCCGAATTTCGGAGGGCAACGATCGTCCTTTTTTTTTTGCGCTTGATTATATCTTGGCGAGTTACGGGTAATGGGGTAATGTAGCGGTTACTTCGTTGGCTTGGACTGAGGCTCGTTTGGGTTTTGTATACATGGGCGCTGGGCGAGATAAGCGAGAGAGAGATTAATGTGACGACAGTTGCTGATGAGAGTCCCGCTTCAAGGTAATGCACGGGAAAGAGTTTGCACGCCGCCGAGTAACTCGTCCATGCCGACGTTTTATTTATCCTGCTGCTCTAATGACATTAATTTGGATGTGCTTGCTTACACACCCTGGGGGATTTTTTTGGTGTATTTTAAGTGGTTTGAAAAAAAATTCGTCTTTGATTGACAAATGCAATTCTACAAGTGAGATTTCGCGAGCTTGCTGTGAAAGTATAAACGTGCATTGGTAAAAGCCGGGATTGTTTAAAAACCAGTGTATTTTTGGAGCTGCTTACAACCGCATTGTTCTAAAAATAACACTCACATCTCTCGTGTATTCTTACTTCAGCCGAAGCTCGCACGAAACGTGGAAAATAGTGTATTAAATTTGGTTCGAAGGAGGAAAGCTTTGGTGGGAGTAAGCATTTTTTTCCAATAATTGAAGCGCTTTTTCGAATCCTCGATATAGCCTCTAAATGTGAAAAAGTACACAAACAGAAGAAACAGCTATACACTTTTGTGCACTTTTCAAATTATAGTTAAAATATAATCTATGGTAAAAAAATTATGCCACGCATTCGTGTGTTTTTTGTGGTTTATTACAATTATTAAAAAAGTTGTATCAAAACACACAATTTTCTACCTAATTATTATGATATTTTTTTGGGATACTGGAATACTTTAACAGCACTAGAGATTATTTTTAACCATGACTGTATGAGGTGGCGTAAAATATTGCTTTTGACTCTTTGGCAGGAATTTTTAACGATTATTTTTTCAAAAAAAATTTTTGCGATTTAAAACAGTTAAGCTTTCATTGATTCTAATTTATATACATATTTTTTTTTTAATTTTGTCTAGTTGCACACTTTTCCATTACAATGTAGTATTTTTTCACTGTACAAAATTTAGATGGCACATTTTCCAATTAAATTAATAAAAAGTAATTTGGCCAAGTATCATTACTTCTATTCGCACGTTTTTTCGTGTGATCTTTTCCACGCCCACAATACCCATACCATCCCAACTTTAATAAGTGAAAAGATGTCCAAACTTTTTTACGCAAAAGAACACCATTATGGTAGGTATGTTCACGTAAAAATAGTTCAGCCCAAGACGCCTTCGCGACAGAATCGGCAAAAAGTGCTTCCAGCTAACTGAATTCCCAGAAATGCCATTATTACCTTCCCAACCCTCGCTCCAACCCTTACGGAGCACACGTGATTTCCTCGAAAGCTTCGACCACCTCTTTTAACGCAATCATAAAAAAAGGGCATGATCCTTCATGTGTGCAATAATAGCAGTGAATAAAAGCAGGTACCATGTGTGTGTATCTGTACTGATAATGTACTTTGTGAAAAGATAAAAAATAAGAGGTTAAAAAAATCGTACAAGGGATGGTAGTAGGGAGCGGTTTCCAAGCTTATATGTGTGGAAAACAAAGGAGCCACTGTTGAATAGCTGCAGATATGCAAACCTCTTGTGAGACGAAATCTCGGGGTGGGTATCTTTTTTTAAAAAAAGTGAAAATTCCGAACTGAATACAACTTACCTTAAATTATTCACTTAAAAATTTCATAAAACTAAAATCATTATGTTCCGAGTACGATTTGTTATCAATAACTAATTTAGGAAAAACAGCAATTCTAAAATTACGCATCGATAGTACATTAGGCATATCTATGTACTCACAACTTTTCGGGACTTAAACCATTCGTACGTTAGTCATTTATGACAAATCATACTCGGACTAAAGTGATTCTATTTTTACGAACTTGTTGACATCCACTATT